TTTTTTTTTCATTTGACTTAAGAGCTCGCAGAAATCCCAAAGCCCTCTTCCATCCAAGCCATTACTCTCCTCAGGTTGCTGTAATTTTATTATCAATTTATTAATCTTACAAACAGTTGGGGTTTTCTCCTAGATCTCAAAGTCTTAAAACCAAATAGGCTATTTCAATATATTAAAATTCTAGTTTGGGGTATGAGGCTTGGGGAAACTTAACAAGGGAAATTAATTATTTATACCTCGACCTTGATCCGATTTCATTTATTTTTTAATTCCCCCAAGCCATGGAGCCAAATTAATTTTGATATATTGAACATGGCCTATGAGTTGTGAATATTCAGTACACATTAAAAACAGTCAGTATTTACATGAATTTTATTTCATCGCAACATTAAATATTTGTTGTAAAGTCATGTGTTTATACGTACACCCTTCGTACTTGATATTGTGCAGTGCCTGCTTATTTGACAATTATTATTAATTTACATAATGTACAGTGAGTCATGCAACTCTACTTTTGTTTGAAAGCATTTTGTCTAATTAACTAGTTTTAAAAGTCACATAAATATATAAAAATCCATGAATTAATCACACAACTTAAAGTGCTGAGAGATTCTTATCAGAAGAAAATAAAAATGTACCAGTCTGACATTTCTTGGAAACCTAACTTCCTGCAAGCTAAGGCTAGAAAGTAAGTAAGTTGATTCCTTCATTCGATTTGCTTCAACAGTGATTTTCCCTAAGAAATTATTGTCTGGATAAACTGGATTCCTGTAATAATACTAGTGTGGCCTGTTTTCCTTGCTGGCTTGATTGCTGCTTTCATTCTGAAGAGCTTTACCCAGTTGTCGTTGGCTCCTGGAGTAAGAAGTAAGAATTTCAGTTATTAGATGAGTGAAATGAGAGCTTCTGTCTCGCAAAAAACTGCTGTTAAGTATCATGATGTGGTCTTCACACCCATACAGAGTGAAGGATGTCCTTAGTAACAAAGACAGGTGTTGTTGCTTGGTTCTTATATATGCTGAATTTCAGCCTTCTCCTCCTGTCACATACCAGTACCCAGAATCATGTGACATGAGGAGACAGCTGAATTCTTAATCAACTCTGTCATAATGTAGACCAATAAAATATTTGGAAAGAAATGCAAAATTGGTACTTGTAATCTGACCGGTCAAGGCCAGATGTTATTGTTTTCAGTAGCAAAATCAGCAATTAACATACATTTTCATAGGGACATTCAGTTTTTTTATCTGCACCCTCCCCCTCCCCTCTCCTATGGATAGCAGATTCTGACAGCCTAGTTTTTTGTTGTCATCACCCTTGAAATTTGCATCCAGGGGGTTAAAAATTTTATCGGCTTCTTTGAAAATATTTTTTCAAGAGGCCCTGTGCCAGAGGGTGCCCTCCGACTGTTGGGGGTAGGGGGGTGGTGGTGCGGATAAAGACGGAATGTCCCATTACAAGAACGGCGGTATAGTTATAGTACACGATCCACTTTATACATCGTTGAATATGGAAAGGGATCATAAATATATGTAAGTTTAATTGAGTTTATAATAATCGATATGGTGAATAGCCAATGTTGAAAAGGGAAGGCGAAGTAGGCGAAGGGGTGATAAATTCATCTACTAGATATATTTTATGACAAATGCATACATAATCTAGAAAATTTGAAACTGAAGTACAATTGAATTTAAGCTAAGATTAAGCTTTACTAATTTAAACTTATTTGTACGTACAGTGCGATTAAGTTGGGATGGTGCAGTCCCCTTTTTGACGCCAGCTTTCGAGTGCAAGGCGAAAAGAAGTTGTCTGTTGGACTCATAAAAGAAGGATTTTTTCTGCAAATAAAAAGAAAGAAAATTACATAAATATAAAGAAAGATTGTGCTGATTGACTAAGTTTCTGTGAAGAGTTAAGTTAAGCTTTCTCTGCTCTCCGGCCGGGTTTGAAATTTTTTGGGTTATGCGACCGTTGGACTTACAGCTTAGCTTACCTATGGAATGACGAATTTGGCGGCTGTGCACGCTGCAATTGTTGATCCATCTTCGACTTTCTGTCCTCCACTGTTTGCGAATTAGTGTTTCTAAAAACCTGAGAATCTTCCATTTTGTTTGAAGACTGGAAATCTATAATGTACGTCCAACAAACAAATGCAAGTCTGAAATGGAACGTTTTCAACTTGAGCTTGACTTCTTTGAAAACAACCGCTATTTTCCATATTTGGTGAACAATGCCATATTTGGAAAGGGCAGGTTTGGCAAACAAAATGGCGGACGTGTTCGATGGAGTGCAAGCGAGCTTTGATAAAACAGAGATGAAGGTACTGTGATCGGCTTTCCTTTTCGAAAGTAAACGAAGAGTGTCATATAGAAACTTTTAAATAAGCAGTGGTATCATGGGAATATCTTAGTTTTCGATTTTGTCAACGAATCATTAAGTCGACATCTGGTACGGTACGTAGTTTGCCAGCTGCATGCAGCGTGCCAAATTAAAGCGAAATCTTAATTTCCTCTGCCGTGAAATAAAGGCAGGTAGTGATTACTCGGAAGCTTACAGGGTTCTGTTAATTTACAGTCCATGTACAATTGAATTTATGATAATTGCTGCGTGAAACACGATGGAACCTTTAAATAGCTTAATTTGTTTTGGGATCGGAGGCTTAAGCTTAACTTCAAACTTGAAGTTTAATTAACTTAATTAACGTTAAGTTTGAGCTCATAGGCTATAAAGCTTTTAATGTGGAGTCTGCGAATAACATTTTCGTAGAAGACATGTAAGGCAATACTTGTTTGTCGTAATATAAATATGCTCGAGGTTTTTGAAAATAGCATTCTGCATAGGATTAGACTTAGTAAGCTTAAGCAAATATATGATAAAACTTCTTGACATTTAATTTAGACGTCTGTTTGAGGTGATGGTTCCCTCTTTATTATCTGTCTGTGCAACAAATTAGCTTTGATTCCTTCTTTAACTCCCTGTTTCGAATAAATACAACACATCAGAGGAAATCATGCAAAGGAGTAAGGACGGCATTCTGTATCTCCAACTCCCTTCTCAAAAATCTGGTATCCGCCCCAAAAACCCTCAGTGAAACCCCCTGTCACTCCATTGGAAAACAATTGAATTTGTAATTTATATTTTTAACTATTATCTGTTCTGTTAGGGTTCTGCTATGGAAAGTAAACCATATCCAACACAACCAGAAAACCCATATGGCCAGTACAGTCCCACATACCACCAGCCGGATTACAGTCAGTTTGACCTGGTCAGGGCCACACAGTATGGCATCTTTGATAGGTGTCTTGAACTGGTTGACAAAGAGGGTGTGGATGTAAACACACTAGACAAAGAAAATGTCTCTGCATTACACTGGGCAGCAATCAACAACAGAATACGAATTGCTGAGTAAGTACTGTTGTCTTTGTTAATAACTACAATTAAAGTACAAGATAAGATGTAATGTTAATCTGAAAGTAACATATAAGGTTGTTTTTTAAGAGGGCATTTAAGCTTAATCTTAAATTACTTGACACTCTCGACTGTTCTTTATAGTAATAAATCTGTATTTATTTCCTTTATTAGGTATTTTGTTTCAAAGGGAGCTGTTGTGGACCAGAAAGGTGGTATTTTAAATGCAACACCACTTCACTGGGCTGTAAGGTGAGAAGTTGGTGTAATTGTAAATTTTGTTCCTATATGAAGAGAGGAATGAACAAGGAGAGAGAACATCTCTGATTCAAGACGTGGAGGGAGGCAGAGGTGGCGGCAAAGGACCAAGTTGCTTAAAGGAGATGGATTGATGGTCCCATTCTCCACAAGGAGAGATGGGAACGTTAGATGATAACGAAAGAGAGGAGTGAACAGTAACGTTTAAAATTCAGCGTGAGAATTGTACCCTAGGAAAATATTTGCTCCAGGTTTTGACAGAATGGATCAAGCAAAGCAATGTCTGTCTGAAATTGACAGATGGTCAATATTGCCCCATTGTGTTCCTGAGCCAGCTGCGCCGGTAAAAGATTTAAAACATGAATTTGTGCTTTAATAAAAGACTGTACATGTAGAAACTTTTCTGGTCTAACACTAATAGAAAATAGTGAACCAGAATAAAGCATTCTGATTACCTGCATAAACTGAAAAAATGTCCAGGAGCTTTTAGTTTGTGACCTAAACCAACAAAGTCGCCATTGATTGAAATAAGGTAAATACAAGTCAAGAATTATATTCTGTATATGTTGACTTTTTTTAGGCAAGGCCACCTTGAAATGATTGTTTTTCTTATGAAACATGGAGCAGACCCATCATCACTTGACATTGAAGGTACTGTTAGGAGTTCAACAAGCCCTTAGAAATTTATCATATTTTAAGTGCATCAAGGAAGAGAAATAATTGGAGAGTTTTATAGTACTGTTATGGAAACTGAGAATTTTAAAAATTTGCAATATGCAAGCCTGCAAATAACAGTCGCTCATCGGACAATTGTCCGGTAAATTTGAGGTTTTGACAGGTAAAAGCTTAGTCTGGTCGGACAGTCTGACTGGGCTTTTCTGCTAAACGAAAAATATTTTAACTGGAAATTTGTGACCGAATATGAAGCAAGTTATTTTATTATATTGCCACACAATACTACGGAAAAAAGCTTTGCTGTCACAGTTTCGTTTTTATTCCATTTCTGAGAATAACTCTATCGCGTGCAGTGCATCGTCTCAAATGTCACGTCGAATTGTAAACACGCCAAATCAGCGCTACCATTCAAGCTTCGTGTTTAAGCAATTCGAATTTGCAACCATCATTTTGGCAAAGGGTCTACACTGACATACCAAAATGTCTCAAATGTCTCTTATTTTTAATTTCTAACAACAGAAAAAAAATTGTCCGACCAGACTGGTTTTTTGTCAGGTCAAAACTTGTCTTTGGCCTGACAAATGACCTGCTTATAGACAAAAATTATTTGCAGGCTTGATATGATAACCAGTGGACTGGTTCAGGTTTTTATCACGAGACTGATGTGGATAGATATCAGTCATGACCCATCAGGCCCTCAAGATGTCCAAAGGGTGGAACCACTGTCTGTCAGATACATCACTGTCAAGTGGATGGACAGCTAACAAAACAAACTCAGCTAATGTGTACGATTTATATCTGGGCCTACATGCAGTGGCTAAAAGCATGGATAATGCTGTCAATCCAAAAGATCACTATCCATTGGATAACATGGTTTATTTTGTCGAAACTCATTGATTGGTGGATAGCAGTTTATCTGGGAGATAGCATCATCCACCCTTTGAACAACGGAGCCCTAGTGGACAGCACAGTACTCACATCACTGTAGGTGTGATTCTTCACTAAGTGTCACTGTGTTGTGTTCTCAGGAAAGACACTTTATTATCACAGTGCTTCTGTGAGTCTTTCCTCATAGGTAAACTGTTTAAATGGACATGGGTGATTTGTTAGGTAACTTAAAGAGGTAGTAAGTCTGTGTTACAGCTTGGTGGCCCAAGATACTGGCACTTATCTCTGGTTTAAGTAGCATTGAATCACTAGGGGTATTTTTACACACAAGTACAGTGTACACATATACTTCCCCTCCTCTGGAAGAGGTGACCCTCAATGAACAAATTCTGTGACTATTAATAAAAGTTGTTTTGGTGTTATAGAAACTGAAGTTACAAACTTGGACTGAAACCACTGAGCTGCTGAGATTTTAGGGTTACAAGGGGAATTATCAAATGAATGTGTTTTTGTAGAACACAACACTTTTTTTGTTTTTAATTAAGGTTGCAGTTGTTTACATGTTGCTGTACAACACAGTCAGATGGGAGCTGTTGCATATTTAATTTCTAAAGGAATGGTATGCCATGTGCCATTTTTATAAAGTACTGTCAGTAATCTACCTATATATTGTTGTTTTTGCAATTGTAATTATGAAAATTTTAATTTAATTCAACTACTGAAAGTAAACAAGACAGTTGTAACACTCTTTGAACAAAGTGTGCTACAAACTCAAACATGGTGTCACATGACATCTCATCACGTCACATCACAGTTCAGGGCATTGCATATTTGGATAGTTAAGAAGAAGAAAAAATTAAAGGGATTACAGGGCAAAAATCATTTTAAATTCCAGATGAATATGCTAGGTAATTTACTAAACAATTTTGTTGTGGAAATTATTTATACAGAACATGTTTATAAATTATGTACCCTATGAAGGTGCTAAAAACATCCAGGCAAGACATTATTGATGAAAGAAATTACCTTCTTGTTCTATTAATAGGATGTTGACCAGCTTGATAGAAATGGAATGTCTCCTCTCATGTGGGCAGCTTACAGATGTTTTGGGTGAGTGAAGATTGAAATAATAAAAGCAAATTGTCACAGTGTTCCAGATCAGTGGGGTGTCTCAGGTCAAAAACCCTATAAGGTCAGCTACATGTGATTAAACTCATTGCCAATGGTACCTTAGGAATGACCAAGCCGAGATATGAGTCTCGAGCAGAGCATCCACAGCAACCCTGAGAGAGGCAACCACCAGGTACCGTCATACTGACAGAGTCAGTGGAGATACTTACCACCCCATATAAACTTTGCCTAAATTACATCTAGCCACATTAAAAATGCATCGGCAATTGATGAACTTGGGAAAGGTGCCTTAGAGATGGTGGAGCCAAGATATGTAGAAAATTTCTAATGATTTTGTGAGTGCAGTGGGACTTGACCCAAATAAATTGTTAACACCCAAACTTGAAAAATTATTATGTGGAACCCTGGTTCATTGAAGGCAGTAAGGTGGAAAATTCATAAGCTTTCTAGGAAAGCTGTCATCAGAGTTTAGCTATTCCCTCTGATAAAGGGACATGAAGGCCTAAAAATGTCTGGACTTCAATGGTATAAGTGCCGAAATAACACTCAATTTTGAACTGATGACTTCATTACAATCATTGGCGCTACACAATGTCTAACCATGTTATAAAATTCATTAATTGCACAGTGCATGTTCCATTTCAAACTTTGAACATTTATCATTTTCACTGTTAATCAAATGGCTCACATATGGCCTACGTGTAGTATATAGCACATTTAAAAAAAACTCTTCAACATTGCTGTTTTTGTTGAACATATTTTACCATGGTTCCACATTTACCAGAGATTGGATGTAACAAGCATGAAGGCTTAGACTAAACTTTTTTTGCAGTAACTTAAGCATAAGATTATGTTTGGTGTTCTTTTAGATTGGAACTTACAAGAATGCTCTTAACAATGAATGCATCAGTGCCATTGGCAGACAAATTTCATAAAAACACAGGTAAAATACAACATTTTCACCTTTTAGATAGTTTGATGAGTATGTGATGCCTCCTTACATGCACAATATCAAAGCTAAGGTGCCAAGGAAACGGAAAATTTTGGAAGCAATTGACCAGGGCTGAATACAGATTTGTGTCTTAAAAGTGCAATTGAGTTTAAAGGTCATAACAATTAGCAGGGCTGTCATAAGCTTTGATTCACCCGTAGCCTTGATCTTCACACCCATAACAAACTTTCTGGGTGAATTGTAAATTGCCACCATGTCACCTGCAGGCAAGGAACTGAGGAAGAAGAAAAACATTGTTGTGTCCACTACAGGCAAGTTCACCTGTAACATCAGGGGCGCATAAAACATGCCCAGCCGTAGTGGGTGTTATGGGTTACAGCCCTTATCGACAGCACTTATTATTAAGGAGAATTGATATTTTAATTTTTGTAAAAATGCGACTCAATTGTCACTGATGGACCTTTTTTTGAACAGCTTTGCATTGGGCAGTGATGTCAAATAACCACAATGTCATAAGAATTCTTCTGAAAGCTGGTGCTAGTATGGACGCATTGAATGCTGAGGTACAGGAAATATTACAATTATACAAATTTTATTAACACTCCCCAATGGGGCTTTTCATTGTTAATTAACTAAAATTACAGTAGTATCATAAAATGTAATGATCAGTTGATGGAATAATTGTTACTTATTACCCTGGTGATATCCCTCAACAGGGCCAGTCTGCATATGACTTAGCAACACAAAAGAAAAGCAAATGGATAGTGGTGCAAATGGATTTGTTAGCAAGAGATAAGGGAGAAGGAAAACCAGCATTTTTACAATCCTTGACAAAGGACAAGGTGGGCTGGCAAATAGAACTGACTTTTTGATGACAGTCTAGATTTTTCAATTACAATCATAAATTAACATTTCTTTATTAATTTATTAATTAAAACAAAATCAGTGTATTATAATCAACCTTTAAATGTTGAGGCTGGTAAATATTATTCTTTAATACACCTGCCTGTCTTTAGCATGCTATTTTAGCTAGCCCAATGATGCGCATCAAGAAGATATTAATTAGTATAAGCCTGGAAAGAAATTTTTAACTAAAGAACAGAATCAAATGCAGAGCTTGTGCCATCAAACTGTCTCACTGCCCTAGCAGTGGCAGATGATGTCAAATATTGCATGCCGCATGACTGTTTGTTTGATGTTCTGAGGCTACATAGTGCTGTAAAAGGATTTCACTTGGGAGATCTTGAGAGAAGCATTTGTGTTGTCAGTGATGCCTCAAGCAGCCAAGAGCTAACTTTTTCTACTGGCTTATTTACTTCATAGTATTACAGGGTACAACATCATAGCTAACCTAACTTATTTCCGACTTTTTCTAGACTGTTCTGCGTTATGTTCAGATTGGTCTGCCGTTCTTTGTGATATTTGCAATTGGTGCAATTTTAGAGTATTCAGCTTCGTCGCTCATGTCTCTTCCTCTTATGGTTGCTGTAGGAATAATAGCATACTATACAATGCAGTAAGTTCTAATACAACTGTTAGAAGTAATTTTTGGTTTTTACCTCATCAGACATCCACAGTAATGAGAGTATTTTTTGAGGCGCAGGAATGATTCCTGCTAGGTGCAGTTTTCGCTGGACATAATATATCAAACACAAGAGACTGTTTCATTGAGATATCCAAACACCCAGAAGAGAGTTGAAAATACAATGCGCAGTGGATTATTTTGACGAAATTCGAGGTCTTTTGATAGCCGATGAAACACTGTCTTGAGTGAAAGTGAAGAATGATCATCGCAGTAAATTTTCCAATTTCAGCAATTGGAAAGAAGAAGCCTGAAAAAAATCAGGGCTTCAACGGGATTCGAACCTGTGACCTCCGCAAAATACCGGTTCAATGCTCTACCGACTGAGCTATGAAGCCACACATTGGGAGCGAGGTCAATTAATTGAGTTCATGTCTACCTGCGAGGAGTGAAATGATGTGGAGTATATATGAAAGTTCAAATATGAATTATTTCATATATACTCCACATCACTGTCTCAAGTGTTTGATATATCTTCTCAATTGACACAAAAACCAAGGAATAAATGGAGATGTGAATCATCAATTGAAACTCTTTGCTGATTAAGACCAGGTATCCAAACCTCCTTTACGGTTGTGATTTTCTTTGTTTTAACTTGATGAATTATTAATGAGTTTGAGAAGTATAGTGAATGACTCTTGTATTAAGCAGACACCCACTGGATAAAGTGTACCCTTTGGCGAGGTCCATGCTGGAAGGGGATTAAAAATGCAGTGTCTTGTTTGGCTGTGGTTAAGACTTTGACTTAGTGTCCGATTCCAGAAGCTCGATTATACAAGATTCAGCAGAAAAGAATTTATAAAGAGGCCTGATAAAAGACTGGGATCGAAATGGGATCTGAGCTCATAACCTCCAGATAGCCATTGTAATGTGAAGCAAATTCTCTCCAGAGCTAGTCACCAAATTGAACACCCTTTTTTGCTACAGGTAGAGTGGAAAGAACTGTGGGGTAGCTGCTTTAAATTGAGGGAAGAACAGTAATTTAACCCAGCCTTCAACTAACAGTTTGATTGCTATTGTTTACTCGCAGATGGTTCACATTAATCTATTCTTCGGGTAGTCTTGTCGTGTTCGGCTGGACACTTGCCACCAAAGCTTATCTTTACTACAACATTCTTACAGTTTATTTGAATTATATCCTTTCCAAAGTTGTTTTGTCAAGTAAAAGAATCAGCATTGCTAAAATGATTAGAGAAGTCTGTTTTCTTTTTTAATTTTTAAAAATTTTTTTTTTCACATTTTTATTTCCATTCAATGGCTTACATCAATTTGTAAAAGAAAAAAATACGGCTAAAAATTAATAAATGGCTACTAAGTTTACATCAGTAGCTTAAGTTATACTACAAGTGACAAAAAAGAAAACTACGCGGGAAAAAAGGCAACAAGAACAAAGGACACACAAAAAATAAATGAATGACTAACTTCGTGATTACAAAGAGCGAAACAATCTAAATTATTTCTTTGGTTACTTATGTATTTAATCTATCTACATATTGATTTGATTTCTGGCCAGGGCTAAATATCCATTTATGTTCAAAATAATCCTTCTTATTAATTTTATCTTACCTTCTGTTTGGTTTGTGACAAAATTGACACTTAGAAAACCTAAAAACTCATACTAAACTGCAATACATACATATGCATACGTACATACATACTTTATTTTTCCATACATACTTTATTCGTCCCCAATATGGGGAACTAACTCATAACATGCTAACACACAACCAAACTGCTAACTATAAATTGACCACCGTGACATCAAGCCAAAGGCATTGAAAGTTTGCTAATTCTTTGTTGTGTATTATGAACTAACCATTAATTTTGCAATGTTTGACTTAAAAAACTTAGTATATATTATTAATTTAAGAAGTAATTGTACAGTAGAAAACATTGTATAAGTAGGACTGTCATGGTTTGGTTAAATGGGCCTATCCTGTTTGCATTACACCACCACCCTTCTTCCTACCCTTAGTTCAATATTAAATATACAGTACACACCACATGTATAATGGTTGAAATACATGTAGACAGTTTAAATAACCGCCTTTTCTGTTTGCAGAATTTTTAAAGGGGCTCGTTTCTCAAGCCTTATACCCCTGGGTGTCTATTTAGCTACTAAAGTCTACAAGTATACAACCTGGTTTCTTTTTTTCTGGCCCTATATCCTTTTATGTTATGAGTCTATATCTACCAGTCATTTAAGTTGAAAAAAGAATGCTTTTTGTAGCCTAGTTTTTCATTTAATGTCAAACTATGGCTTCTGTAAGGTTAAGTCTCTGCTGGGCCAAGAGGCTCATACAGCCAGAGCATATCCTGTTTTCTGTAGCACTAAGCCACTAGGAGTATTTCTACTCCCTCTGTCCTGGGTGGGATGCTAGTCCATCACATGATTACCTCTCCCCCCCAGTATTAAATTCACCAGCACCCATTTATACAATGGGGTGGAAAGAGGCACCGTGATAGTAGATGCTAGTCATCACGTGATTACCCCCCCCCCCCCCCCCCCCTGCCCAGTAATAAATTCACTGGTTCCAATTTATACACCTGGGTGGAGAGAGGCACTGTGAGAGACAGTGTCTTGCCGAAGCACACAATGCAATGACCCCGGCCAGGGCTTGAACCTGGACCACACGATCCAGAGTTGAGCGCTCTAACCAGAAGGCGTGGCCGTTGTGCCTTCACACTTCTGTAGCCTGAAGCAACTGCAAGTAATTCCTTCCTCTAGTCTGCATTTTGTAAAGATTTCTCTTAATGTACCTGTGCCAATCTCAACACCTTGCAGGGTGAAGTGGTCTTGCCATTTTCACGCACTTTTGATTAATTAGGTATGCAGGAGTTTTAAATCAAAGGATCGACTTATAAATTTGAAACTTTTCATTCACTAGTGTGTTTAGTGCTTTGCAGAACATAAAACACTAGATGTCAGAGGAATAATAGTCTGTCTGCAGTCCTCTACTATTTTACTTTACTTTGTTTGAAACAGAAAGAAAATAGAAGACATTTGCAAAGGAATTCTGAATAAATAAATTGATCTCTATAAAATCATAACTATGATAAAAATAATTACTGATTAATGTAAAGATAGGCAAGTAGGAAATAACAGTTAAACTAAATTGGTAAAATGTTAATTTTTTAAAATTTTTCACTAATTAGTAAATTTAAAAGAGGTTAAAACCAGTCTATGGTAATAGCAAAATAAAATTTAAAATAAACAGCTTGAATTTTGTTGTAAATAATCACTGAAACCTTTTTGATAATTTAAAACTCAGATTTATGCCAAAGTGAGTGGTGAGGTTGTTAAAACATTTTCTGCTCTACTTAAGGTTTCTGATGAAAATTTCAGTCACCATTTCAAACATGATTTTACAGATGTGAATGAATGAGACATTTTCCTTGACGATTTCCTACATGTAAATACTCCGTTCATTCTAGCATCTTTCTTTGTCAACACTGTTGGCCTGTATTACTGTTTCTACAAGGCGTGGAAAACAGATCCAGGTTACCTTCATGCTACATCAGCTGAACAACGCAAGGTACAACCCTGTTCAACATGATTTTGGTAAAGTCTCCAGGGGTTATTTTAAATCTGTCAAGCTCTTTCCTGTTCTAGCCTGCGAGCAGGCTCACCTTTGAGTCACGCGCGCGAGCGGCGAAGAGCAAAGCGACCCGGCGGGAAGGAGTCTCGTCTCGCCGCTCTATTTCGCGCTCGCGGTTATCCTGTTCTTGAATGTAGTACTTAGCATACTATCACCTTATCGAAATTATTATCACAGAATTGTGGAAGTTTTGTAGCTAAAGTTAATTCACAAGCAGTAATGTGAGTTATTATATGGCTAACTCCTCGAGCAAATCCTGCGCTGTGATTGGTTACCCTAGCGCGCACGATGGCGCTATCTTTTTCGCTCGGTACTACCTGATGTGTCCTGCAAGATAAATTTCCCTTAAAGCCATATAATAAATTCTTTATTGACCAAGCTTGTTCGGTCAAAATGGCTGAATATTGGCCAAATTAAGTTGAATTAATTTACAATCAAGATTGCGTGTTATTTTGTTTTTCTCCTTAGACCATTATAGAACTCGTAGAAAAGAACTCGTTTGACTTCACAAAATTCTGTTCAACTTGTCTTGTGAGTATAACTGGAAGCTTTACTATTTGATAATATTTGCAGTTATTAATGTTACAAACAATATTACACAGTGCTATAACATTACACGGTCAACATCAGGCTGCATTTGTATTAAAGTAAATCGAAACTAAAACATGTTACACTGACTTAGACGATAAGTATGAAGTGTATGAGTGTTATGGATAAACGATTTTTGTTAATTATTAATAAATTACGGTGGAACTCCACCTTACGGTCAACTCGTTAATACGGTCACCTCGTTATTGCGGCCACTTTTTTTTGGCCCGGCGAAACGCACATACATTTTCTTATAAGAAAACCTTGTTAATGCGGCCACTCCGTTAATACGACCAACGGCAACATCCTGAAATCCCAACCTGTTTAATCCTAAAAGTTATGATTTTACCTCGTTTATACGGCCACTCAAAACAGTTAGGTTCCATTAATATTTCATACACTGTTTTAAGTTTCAATTTTTTAAAATTATATCAGCATTTTGGACGCTTATTAAAGAACAATTGCTTAGAAGTGCAATTGTGGTATATCTGGTAAGACGTCACTCAATTGAGGTCAGTCCAGTCATGAAGTTTGATCCTACGCCGTTGATACGGCCACCCCGTTAACATGGCCAAATTCCGTTGGTCACCGTATTAACGGGGTTCCGCTGTATTTTGTTGCCTTGATTTGAAGGTAACCACATTTGTCGTTTCCCTTGCAGTTACGGAAACCTATCCGATCAAAACATTGTTCTGTTTGTGATCGATGTGTAGCAAAGTTTGATCATCACTGTCCCTGGGTGGAGAATTGTGTGGGTACGTGAACTGAATTCACCATTGGTGTATTTTGAAATGCGCTAGAGCAAGGGAGACGTTTCAACAAAACTATCTGTACGCATTAGTTTCATAGGTTCTACTTATTTCAGAAACCCATTTGGACAATCATCTTGTTAGCTTTCTTCCAAATACTTGACTTGTTTGAATAAAGGTGTTCATCATCTGTCAAGATAATTTCTCACGTCAGCTCTGAAACTTTATAAACTTTATTATTCAGAGTAAGGTACGTGTATATCATTTTGGTAATTGTAATTGGTACAATTCTTCCTAATAGATGCCACTAAATGTTCTTTCTTTTTGCCATGGTAGAAACTGCCCTCATTCGGGCCAGAATTTCAAAGCCTTGCATGACACTGCTGAAATACCTTCTTTTGGGTGGAGTAATAAAAATATCCCTCCCCCACCACCACCACCTTGAGATATCATACAACATACTCTTCCAGTGCTCCTCAATTGTTTACACCGCAGCTGCTAGCAATAAGAGGGAGGTGTGGAATTAATTTACAGAGAGAGTATACTTAGTTGATATGGATCTGACAGTCCTGTTAATCTTGTTCTAAACAGGTGTTGGAAACCATCTGTACTTCTTTTGGTACCTGTTTTTCCTGTTTGGTATGATTCTCTGGTATATCTATGGAGGTGTCGTCTGTAAGTGTATTTGCTTCTGTAATTTTAAACTTTTTACCTTTAGTACACACCTTGCTCGTTCTCTTTAGAGTGGCTGTTACAGGCAAAATAAACAAATCGAATAAGTGGGACGGGAGGGAAGAAGCAAGGAAGGAAGGGGAGGGGTAGATAGGTAGAAAGGAGTGTATAGAGGGAGAGAAGGGAGGAGGGAGGGAAGTAGCGGAGGAGATAAGGAGAGAGAGGCAGAGAAAAAGGCGTGTAGAGGGAGCGAAGAGGGAGGTCGGAACGGGCCAAGTCAGAACTCGGAAAAACTGGTGAAACTTGTAACAATTAGTAAATGCTGGAAAAGTACGCTGAAATTTGATTTTGTATTGATTGTTCAAGAAAAAAAGCCCCGATATGTTTACTATGAATAGTCAAAGGGTGGTTTGGGGTCTTCTTTAACCCAGATCAAAACTGAATAGACAAAACTGGGATCAAATACGTCAAAAATCGTTGGAAATCGCTCTACATTTTGCTTTCACTGCTTCATGATATCCACACTTGTAATGTCCATTGCTTTTTGTTTCAGATTACGTCATGGCCTGCGGTCCCTACCCTGAAGGGGTCTGGAATGCCATCACTCACAGCTTACGCTGTGCACCTTGGATCACGTGGGGTTTTGCCAACGCCCTGTTTCACGTGATGTGGGTCGGCGCTTTATTTTTTTGTCAATGTTATCAGGTATGACCCACACATGTTAACGTTCTTTTTTCTTTTTTTTTCTTTTTCATGTACAGTGATAGTGTAACAGTTTCCTAAGGTACCACAACCGCTTCTCTCCAGCAATCACAGGCTAAAAATGTCCAATTCTTTCAGCCATATTTTTTTTCTGGGAAAGCTCTCGTAAAGGACTTTCTTCCCGAAGTTGGCTAGTTTGGTTAACAGAATAGATGGCTCCCTATGGGAGATTCGAATCTTACCTTGTGGGTTCAAATATTTCGGATTTCTCCGCTATGAAGGTCGTTGGACCGACATTTTCGTTTCAAAGGATTGTACTAACGTCTTGCTACAGAATCTAACCAGAGGGCAACTCTAAAGCAGCCTGATAAATCAGTCTGGTTAGGGCGCCGGACTTCAAATCCGGAGGTCGCGGGTTCAAGTCCCGCTCTGACCACTAAGCTGGAGTTATTTCCCGTTAGACCCTAGTTTAACTCCTCGGTCGTGTTTGTAAATAGCCAACTGGTCTGCCTTGCCGCCAGTTGGGATTTTTAAGCCAATTATGGTTATTTGATATTTGTTTCTTCCAATTTAAGTGGCATGCCTGAGAACTAGCTAGGTGTTGCTAAGCGCATTGACCACTACAAACAACAACATTGGAGCTTTTTTTTGAACATAGTTATCATTAAACTAGCATAAGGAGCAGATTCAGCAACTTTTGCTTGGGAGCGATATTTCCCGAATATGGACCGAACAAGCTAGTCTAGCCTTAGGACTCTTTTACAAGTTCTTTCCCGATTAAAAAGCCATCTTTCCGTGGCAATCAGAGCAAAGTCAAACAGATTGATACGTTTTGTAGCCATTTTCTCCAAGTTGGACCAAGAGTTGTGGAAAACGTAAAGGAATATAATTCTGAAAAACGAAACAGATGGCAAATTTTGGGGGAGCAGGGATGGTGCAGTGGTGAGAGCGCTCGCCTCCCACCAATGTGGCCCGGATTCGATTCCGGCCTGGTTATATGTGGGTTGAGTTTGCTGTTGGTTTTCGCTTTGCTTCGAGGGTTTTTCTCAGGGTTCTCCGGTTTTCAAAGAAACCAGCATTTCCAAATTCCAAATTCCAATTCGAACAGAATAGAGGACATGGATGAAAGCCAGCTAAGGCTGATGTAGCTTCTTCTCTAAATATTTCAATTTATTTTATTTATTTAACTCGCATCTTCCCGGGAACTG